CCCCCCCCCCCGACAAGGGGGGATGGCTGTGTCGTGAAGGGAGCGGGTGTGTTGCAATCAGGGATTTGCCCCAGGCGGCTCTGCACGAGGTTCTGGGCTCAGTGTTGGGCGGAGCTGAGGTGCACAGGGCATCAATGGGCTCTCTGGCCAGGGGTCTGCCACCAGATTCCAGCCCCTGCTTCCTCTGCCCTTTCTAGGATGGCAGCAGCTTCAATGTGGGCAGTCCCTTTGCCAAGGACTTCTTGCCCAAGATGGAGGACGGCACGCTACAGGCCGGCCCAGGAGGCGCGAGTGGGCCCCGTGCCTTGGAAATCAACAAAATGATTTCTTTCTGGAGGAATGCCCATAAACGAATCAGGTGGGCCACTGTCGGAGGGCAGAGACATGTTGTATATATCCCTGGCCACGCCGTGGCAGCCCTGGCCCCCTTCCCCCTGACCTTGCACCCCTGACCCAGGGGCCCTGACCCTGTCTGTGCTGCACTGGAGGGACAACCGGGCTGTGGTCTCAAGGCCCGGCTACTGGTTCTGGTTCCGTGGGAACGCAGGCAAGTCTCTTGCCTCCCTAGCTTCAGTTTCCGTGCTTATGTTGAAAGAGTGGTGCCGTAGGGCCTTGATGGTGTAGCTGTTGGAGCCCTGGGTGTGGCTGAGGACCGTGGAGGGTTGGTGGCCTGAGAGCTGCATCTGGGACTGGGAGCTGGGTCCTGAGGCTGAGAATGGCAGTGGACTCACCCTCAAGTCTGGCTCGGCAAGGCGGGGGTGGGGGCCGGCTCCAGCAGCATGCTGCTGTGACAAGGGCACTTCCCTGGCTGCTGAGGTCCATCCCAGGCGTGGCCGAGGCACTCGTGGCAGGACTGACGTAGTGGCCTGGCCAGGTCTCAGGTGGCTTATGCTCCTGAATGGTAGGTTTTTGGGCCCGTCCTGAATGCAGTCTGTGTGAAGAGGGGGAGGCTGGGCAAGGAGGGGGCACAGTAGCCTCCAATGCTGAGCCTGGGGGTGGATTCTCCTCATGGGCGTCCTAAGCCTCAGTCCATCTGTTCCCACAGCTCCCAGATGGTGGTGTGGCTGCCCAGGTCGGCTCTGCCCCGTGCCGTGACCAGGTATGGCCTGCCAGGCGGTTGTGGGGATCGCAGAACTGAGTGGGGGCGGGCCCGAGGACCCCGGCAAACTGCCGAGACTCGTGTCCTCCCCCACCCTGCCAGGCACCCCCGCTATGATGAGGAAGGCCGCTACGGGGCCATCTTGCCTCAGGTGGTGACCGCCGGCACCATCACCCGCCGGGCTGTGGAGCCCACGTGGCTCACTGCCAGCAACGCCCGGGTACGTGCCCTCTGCGCCTCTGGACGTTGCGCTTCCTCTCCCGTGTCTCTAGAAACTGGGGTGTGGAGGGCCTTCGGTGAGGAGCAGGAGAAGGAACTGAAGATCTGGGGCAGGCGGGACTCAAGTTCAAATCTAGCTCCACAGCTCGTCTGTTCCTTCAGCAGACGTGATCTGGGTACCGCCTCGTAGCCAGATGTCGACGTGTGTGTAATCTGTACGGCCGCGGTGCTGTTTAGGTGGGGCCGGGGTCAGGTCAGGCGTGGAGGGTGGGCATCTTTACCTGTCGCCCTCACTGCTGCCAGCTGGCCCTCCCCGGAACTGTGGAGTTTGGGGCAGTTGTGTGGCGTTTTCTAAAACTGCCCCCTTGGGAGAGGCCCAGCATCCTCCCTCAAGTCTGGCTCCGGGGAGCGGGTGGGAGGCGTCTGAGCGGGGTAGCTGGCGAGGGTCTGACCTCACTGTTCTGCAGCCTGACCGCGTAGGCAGCGAGTTGAAGGCCATGGTACAGGCCCCACCCGGCTACGTCCTCGTGGGTGCCGACGTGGACTCGCAGGAGCTGTGGATCGCGGCTGTGCTTGGAGACGCCCACTTCGCGGGCATGCACGGTGAGCCGGAAGCGGGGCTGGGCCGTTCGCTGGCAAAAGGTCTCCGAGCCGCCCTTCTCACGCCCGCCTCTACCCGCTCTGCTCCTCCCCGCAGGCTGCACGGCCTTCGGCTGGATGACGCTGCAGGGCAGGAAGAGCAGGGGCACCGACCTACACAGTAAGACCGCCTCGACGGTGGGCATCAGCCGTGAGCACGCCAAGATCTTCAACTATGGCCGCATCTACGGGGCGGGACAGCCCTTCGCCGAGCGCCTGCTCATGCAGTTCAACCACCGGCTCACACGTCAGGAGGCAGCCGAGAAGGCCCAGCAGATGTACGCCGTCACCAAGGGCCTTCGCAGGTGAGGGTCCCTCCCCCGTCTGTTACCCCCGGGGCCTCAGGCCTGCCCTGCTCCCCTTTACTGCTCTCCTCCCGTTTCCCATCACCTGAGCCTTCTCTTGGCCCCTTTCCGTTCAGACCTCTGACCTTGCCCCAGGACGGTTTGTCCTTAGGTTGTGCCATTTGCTGCTTTAATAACCTTACACGGTCTTCCTCATAGAGCGAAGGCTGTCCTTTTGTTGCGTTGCCACCGAGTGGCAGCACGTCAACAGCCATGATCATGCAGAACACCCAGGGGGAACCGGGGCAGGCCCTGGGTGGGACAGCAGGAGTTGACAGGAAGGAGCCGTGCAACACCGGACTCCCTTGACTGTGCGACAGGAGGGAGCCTCCCCAGGCCCCAGCTCGTTTCCTCTGGCGGCGCCTTTTGTGTGCTCAGGGTTGTAGTGGGCTCCTAGGAGGGTTCCCGAAGCAAGTGTCGGAGGAGAGGTGCACGGCCAGCTTCCGTAGGTACGCTCTGCAGCGACTGTGTCCAAGTAGCCGGCTACCTCGTGAGACCGAAGGGTAGGCAGGTGATGGTGTGGCGGTGACTGTACAGGTGCAGACCGGGGGGGCGGGGTACCGTGCAGAGTAGGGGGGTGTGCGCCTTGCACGGGGGGCGCAAGAGCAGTGATGACAGAGGTCGGGCTGTCAGAGAATTTGAAGGCGTCACACAAGAGTCT